CCCGGTCTAGTCTGATCTCCCTGCAGTGTGTAACCCACACAACTGTCCCACTTCATGACACTGAGACCACTTACAGAGAGAATAATGAGTCTGCTCTACAGCCTTAACAACGAGCCAGCTGGCTTTCAGTGCATTTAGTAGAGGCTCATGCACTAAGCTCCAGAGGTCCCAGGTTCAATTCTGCCCACGTGACAATAGCATAGGCCATAGAATGGCCCCAAAATAACCCTGGGGCAGATAGTTTAGAAAAACATCCCCTCTTGGTTTACAAATTTCCAAGGATGGAGAATCCATTGTAACCCTGGATTAAACTGTTCCAATGGTTCATTATCCTCACTGTTAAAAAAGTTTGCCTAAATTTGGTCTAAATGTGTCTAGCTTCAAGTCCCAGCTGCGGGATTGAGTCAGACCTCTCTCTGCTAGGCAGAAGATCCTATTATTACGTATTTGCTCCCAATGTAGATATTTGGAGCCTGTGAACCGATTACCCCTTAACCTTCTATTTGTTAAGCTAAACAGGCTGAGCTTTTTATCAGTATAAGGCAGGTTTTCTAAACCTTTAATCATTTGCCTGGCTCTTCTCTGAACCCTTCCCCATGGGAGTTAGACACACAAATACTTTACTGAACCTGGATCTTTGTTTTTAATGGGACTTGCTGTTGCTCAGCATCTCTCAGGATTTGTCCCAGTGTACATATAATATAGTGTTAGCACTGCTGTGTGCCTTAGTTATTTGGGTGAGAGGCAGAATCTGTAGCATGGTAGGACTGAACAATGACGTCTCTATAAACAAATGTTAATGTTGCTGCTAAAAGCAATCAGAGCTGGGGGACAGGAATGGGCTGAGAGTTGAAGTGCTGTCAGTTATGGAAAATAACTTTCTATGGCTGCTTTGGCCCCAGAACTTTTTTCTTACCCCCCTGCTCTATTTGCAAATTAAAAGATGGGTGTTTTTCTAACTGCCTACCTCGCAAACTCAGCCTCATGGCTCAAAGTCTTTCTTTCTCCTTCATACCTAGTCAGCCTATTTGACAGGTCTGTTGACGATGCCTGAGCCAGAAGAGAACCTGGTTCAAGTGCACAGTTGAGAGGTGCTAATATGCTTTTGTCACTAAAGTCAGCAGCTCCAACATGACTCTGAGCACACAGACAAGGTGTGGGTCAGAGGAGTCACTTTTCAGAGCAGAGGGGGAGAGAGAGAGACAAGGTGGGTGATGTAATGTGTTTTAGGGGACAGATTTCTGTTGTTGAGAGAGGCAAGATCGAAAGCTTGTCTCTCTCACCAATGGAAGTTGGTCCAATCACCCAGCTTGTCTCTCCACTATCCTGGGGCCCACGTGGTTACAACTCCAGTGCATTCTTTAAGGGACAGAGTTATTTACACCCAGAGGGGCCTGCACTCCCCACTGAAACCACTCTCTCATTTGACTCCATTGGGCATTTGCCAGAGCACAGGTGACTGAGTCAGGCATACGGGTCAACAGCAGTGAGCGGGGAGGGAAATATGGAACCAAAAGTAGCAGTTTGAGTGGGTCGCTCAGGTTTGTTCTTCAGCTTTCAGCTTCTCTGAAACATTCTTGTGGGGTAGCCACTCACATCCGTGGATTTAAAGCCGTCCTAGTGGAACAATGTGATCAGAGTCTGATCCTGTGTCAACTGAAATCAATGGCAGTGCTCTGAGCCGTTCCGCGATGTCACACCTTGCACTGTCGCCCTGGCAGGTATATCCAAAAGCCTCTGCTCCTCGAGGGGAAGAAGTTTGATGTCCGTTCTTACTTCCTCATTGCCTGCACAGTGCCATATGTGTTGTTTTTTGGCCATGGCTACGTCCGACTTACCTGCACCCGCTACGATGCCACTTCCGATGACCTCACGGCACATCTGACCAATCAGGTAAACTGACCAATCTGACCAATCAGGTAAATTGAAAATGTATTCTTCTCTCTGATTGGACGGTGCCAGCCTAGTAAAATGATGGCCTCTATGGGTCGCTAATGTCAAGTGGGGAAGTTGTTTCAGGCACATGCTGGGAGGCAGTTCTGACAGAGATGAGACTCCGGCCAGCAGGGAGTCTGGCGGGGCTAAAGATGTGGTTCATGAGTGTGTGACCCTCGCGCTTTTGCTGGCATAGGAGAGGTCAGATCAGGATCACAAATGCATCCTGCAAGGCATGATGGCCAAATGGACAGGGTCCCATTCTCTGCCACTGTCCTGCTGGGTGATCTTTAGGGAGACGGTTCCCTTCTCTGGGTCTCTTGTCCCTTAGTTTGTCTTGTGGAGGCAGATTGTAAGCTCTTCAGGACAGGGGCAATACGTCCCATGGGCCTCGGTTGCTGGTGCTACCATAATTCAAATAACTCATAACCATGCAGCATGCAAAAGTGTCCTTAATAGAGCACGTCTCTCACTAGCTCTTGGGATTAAGCCTTGATCTTTGCCAGCTTTGCTATCTGTGAGTGAGATCCTTGGATTGGGCCCTATTATCTTTTCTCACCCCCTCTCTGGCGAGTTACAACCCAGACATTAGCCAGAAGCTCCCAGTGACTAGAGAGGCAGAGGCATAGGAGGGGGGACAAAGAAAGCTACTGGGACTTTGGGAGGAAGGGATGAATCGGATCCAGGCTGGAAAGGGGCATCCTACAGCCATTCCTATGGCATTTCCATAGCAGCTATATTCCTCTGCCCTCTACCCCGGCTTTGGTGCCCTCTTGGCCCTGTCCCCTTACCCACCCTGGCAGTTGTTGCTCTTATTTCTGCCCCTTCCCTGGGATGGGTGTCTTTGCTAGCAACCACAGAAGCCAGAACCAGGCTGAGGCAGGGAGTCCTAGCTGCTCCCTGGAGGCTGGCCAGTAGGGTTGCCAGGTGTCCGGTATTGACCCGGACAATCTGGTATTTTTGCCTCCTGTCTGGTAAAAAAAATTCAGAAAATATCAGACACCTAAAATGTCTGGTATTTTCTGACTTTTTTTCCTGGCCAGGAGGCGAAAATACCTGACACCTGGCAACCCTAGCGTCCGGCCTCCCCCACTACCCCAGGCCCTGACACCCCCAGTCCCCCGCCGCCAGACTCCATGCTTACTGGTTCCACAGGGAAGCTAAGTTCTGGCTTGAACAAGAACACAAAATGGCCGCCAGCAAAAAGCCTAAAGACCAAGGGGAAGCAATGCCTTCCCTGTGTCTTAGTGCTCAACCGCTCCCCTGTTCCTATCCCTCTTCTAACTCTGCACTCGCTCTGAAAGGGGCCATGCTGTTTTATTATTTCTTTCTTTCTTTATTTATTTGCTTAATAAGTCTTGGAGTCCTTTTTTTTTCCTCAACAGAATTTTTTCCCCGGTGTTTTTTTTTTGGGGGGGAGGGGTATTCGGTATTTTTGGTTCAACCATCTGGCAGTCTCAAGTGCGGCGGTGGCCGGTCCAATCCCTCTCTCCTGGCCCTGCTTTCATCTCTTCCTCCTCTTTCCTCCCATGCGTGTGGGGACAGAATCCAGCCAGGTGCCGCTCGAATCCCCACAATGTGTTGTGAGGCAGGAAAACTGTGGGTGGGGTAGAGGTCTGGAAATGTTGGTTTCCCTCTTCCATTATTTCTACCCCCTTCCCCCGCCCACCTAGTTCCACTGCTCCCGACGATCCCCTGCTCAACGTACCCCAAGTAGCTGGTGGAAGTTTTGCTTCACAGAAGGCCCACGACAGTTGGGGGGACCCCAGCAGCCAAAAGGAAATGGAAACGTGGGGAAGACATCTCAGGGAAGAAAGCTGTTTTGCCTGTAATGTGCGTGCTCCCTCCAGAGGAACGGCGCGTTCCAAAGCACTGGGTGGGTGATTGCCCTGGCTCACCCACTTTGGTTCTTGCGGGAGTTGTATTGTTATTGCAGAAGGGCAGCTCAGGACATGTACTCTAGCCCCTTTCTGCAGCAGACGCTATTAGCAACCTGCCGCTTGTTTTTCTGGAACAGAGTTGTTTGCTCAGCTAGAGGGCTGTGCACAGGGGAATTCAGGTGCTCAGGTGAGACCCTCTGGCACATCTGACATCAAACAAGGGACAGGTGTTTATTAGCAGAGCATCAATTACCTAGAAACCTGTCGGGAAGAGAGGGAAAGGTAACTCACCTGAGCAGCTGGCAACATGTAGGACTTTTTTTTTTTTTCAAACAACACTTGATTCTGCCCTCGTTTTCCTTCCGCCTCCAGCCCAGAAAGCCGGCCATTTTTCTCTTGTATGTTTCAAATGTCAAGCAGAACCATTTCCCACAAAGCACTGCTATGAAAACCTTCAGCACTTGGATAACAAAGTAGCCTGTTCCCCTTGCTGCAATGACCTTTATGTTGCTAACACCAGCACATTTTGGAGCTAGCTCTAATATATAGCTTAAGACAGAAAGTGTAATATCAAAGCCTGGCTCCAAATGTATTTATCTGTAAATCTACACAGCCTCTGACTATTCTGGCATCCCGTTTCTATTCATTATTAGGATGATATGTTATTTGTATTTCCCTAGCCCCTAGGAGCCTTAGTCACGGATAGGATCCACTGTGCCAGGCGCTGTACAAACAAAGAACAAAAAGGCAATCCCTTCCGCAAAGAGCTTATAGTCTGGCTGTGTCTAGACTGGCAAGTTTTTCCGCAAAATCATCTGATTTTGCGGAAAAACTTGCCAACTGTCTACACTGGCCATTTGAATTTCCACAAGAACACAGACGATCTCATGTAAGATCGTCAGTGTTCTTGCGGAAATACTATGCTGCTCCCGTTCGGGCAAAAGCCCACTTGCGCAAATCATTTGCGCAAGAGGGCCAGTGTAGACAGCACAGTACTGTTTTCCGCAAAAAAGCCCCGATCGCGAAAATGGCGATTGGGGCTTTTTTGCGGAAAACCATGTCTAGATTGGCCACGGACGCTTTTCCGTAAAAAGTGCTTTTGCGGAAAAGCATCCTGCCGATCTAGACGTGCTTTTCTGAAAATGCTTTTAACAGAAAACTTTTCCGTTAAAAGCATTTTTGGAAAATCATGCCAGTGTAGACGTAGCCTCTATGTCCGGGCCCAATTCATATCTGATTTTGGGCCACTGAAGTAAATGAACCAACAGGAGTAAATTTGGTCCACTTTGTCTGTGGAGAGACTCAGATCAGATTCCTGATTCATGTTCAGAATTCTGGCCCAGATCCCAATTTTTGCTGCTGGCTCCTGTCTTCATTTTTCATTTTACCTTCCTCTGATCCCAGCTACAGACACAGGGAGCCGAGAAAGGGAGTATTTATCCTGCACCCCAGATAAATACTCCCTTTCTCTCCTAGCACCTCATTAATACAGCCCTGCCAGCCATCCAGTGGCTTTCCGTTCCATGGCTCAGGCAACCGCTCATCAACAGAGAAGGGCTGATTTTGTTTCCCAAGCAAGCATGAGGGAATCTGAAACGGGATCGTGAAACCTTGGAAGGAAAAGCAGCGGTCGCCAAGGCTGCGCCTGTTTCCATCGCCAGCCTTTGTTGTGGTTGGTTTTTTTTTAAAGAGCTTTGCTGTGTTTTATGACCCAGCTGCTAAAGGTTCGCTCAGCCCATATCAAACGGATGCACTCCGCCGATGTAAATCAGCACACGCCATGGAAAGGAATGGCGTTCCACTGACGTACGCCGAGGATTCGTCCCGTTCTGATTTACAAACGAGTTTCTTCCCCTTTGGCAAGACGAGGCTCGTTCTGTGCAGGGCCTGGGCCCCGGGAGGGGCTGCTGAGGGCGCTCAGCATTCACACTGGATCAAGCCCTCTTTGGTCAGGGGCCGCATGCTGGCAGGAAGGTTGGGAGGGGGAAGATAAAGGTCACTGTTGGAGGAGGAACAAGTGCTAGGTTTCCTATGTCTCTTGATGCGCCCTGGGGACGGTGCATGAAGCTGAGACCAGGGCGAGAAGCGTTGTAGCCTGCTCCACTAATCAGAAGTTTTGCAGCTTAGCAGCGATTGCACTGCAGGTACGTCTGCAATCCAGCCCAGCTGTTGCATAAGGAGAGGGGATTTATCATTCGCTGGCCGTCGCAAACACCCAGGGCTCGCTAAGGCCCCACCTTACCCCAGGATTAATGAGACAGTGGAACAGAGATTCCCTCCCCCTGGTTTCCTCTGGGGATGCACACACGTCCATGTCTCCCTGGCACTCTCTTTCTCTCACCTTCCCTTTCCAGGAAAGAGATTCTCTCTGGAAGGGGGGCTCGTCCAGCTGTCAGGAACGTTACACAGATCTGCATGCATGTGTCACCCAGCGGCAGTGAGACCACTGAGAAAGAAGCATCATGGTTGCTCTGCTAAGTCACACGGGGCTTTAGACCCTAAGGTTGCAGGTTCAATCCCACCTACTGACATCCTGGGTGCTAACAGGTGGTGTTTATCCTGGGAACCTCTGGAGCTTAGTGCATGAGCTGAAAGCCAGCTGGCTCTCAACTAAGGCTGTAGAACAGACTTCTCAGCCCCTCTGGGTGACATGTGTATCCCAGGCTGTCTGTCCCTGGACTGCTGTTATGGCAGAAGCTAAGGGAGAGCAGTGGACTGGGAGGCTGGATTCCCAGGGTCTGATTCTCAGCAACTCCATTCCAAGACTTGGGTAGGGAACAAGGTGCAGGGTTAATGGAGTTTTAAGGCACCTGTGGAGCTTTCCCTGCAGTAGGGGGCCATGCAAGAGCCTGCCCCACCCCCTTCCTGGCTCGTCTAATTTGGTCTGTTTTGCATAGGTCCATGGGAAGCCGAGAATAGCTGCAGCTCAGTGCCATGTTCCCAGCCGGCTTCCACTCCAAACCTTAGTCCAGGGGCTGCAAGCAGGGCTGGGGTGGAGCACTGAGAGTGGCCTGTGCAGTGAGTGATCTCAGAGGGCTGTTTCTGCCCACTTCAAGCAGCATAAAGGGGCCTTATTGCAACTGAGAATCAGGCCTTTGGAGTCTGTTCCCAGCTCTGACACTGACTCACTGTGTTTCCTTGGCTGAGTCCCTTCCCCTCTTTAAAGCCCAGCTTCTCAGTCTGCAAGTGACGGGCACGACATTCAAAGCACTGGGGCATCCCAGGGTGAAAGGCAAAGTTCCCTCTAATCTTTTCCATCCATGTGTGGAATAATGTGTTATGTGCACCAAGGCAAGTGTGGATGTGCACCACCACTAGACACACAAAACCTATCTGTGGGCCAGGTCCCATTGCTGGGAATGAGGCTCCAGGCTGGGAAGCAAATGGACTTTCAGGCTTGGCTACATGGTGCGACCCAGCAGGACCGCTGTGCGCTGTGCTAGCTACGTAGAGTGTGGGGGGTGCTGCTCCGAATGACGTGCTGGTGACCACCTTGCACCCCTTGCTCTGATTGCATTCAGACTGCCCCAAACTTGTGCCTTAAGGGATCAATCCTTCGAGGCACCGAGTACCCTTCACTCCCACTGACTTCCATGGAAGTTGGCACTTAGCACCTCACAGGAAGACTAAGCAACATCCTGCCGGATCAAGTCCTAAGACTCCTGGTCTGATCTCAACCCTTCCCACCCGCTTCCCACCTGCCGATATTTCCCAGGATGTTAAAGAGCTCACTCCTCTGGGCAATTCCTGGGGCTGACCTGCACCCCGAACGCCAAGAGGCCACGATGGGGACTCAGCACCTGAATAGGGCCCCAAAGGCAGGCAGGCTATAAACAAAGGAGCCAGAGCCCTACAGCCAATGCGAATCCCTCTGAGCAAGCAGCTTGCCCAGTCTCCCAGCCCACTGCCTTCCCTCTGCCCTTCTCACTCGGATCTGCCTTCCCGTCTCTGGAGCCAGATGGCCACTCCGGGGAGGCTTGAATCTGGTTTCTCCACTGCAGGGAGGGAGAAATCGAATCTGTTTCACTAACCCTCCCTCTGCTTTCTCCATCCCCCTCCCCCCATCTCCCAGTACATGCAGAAGAAAAACCCCCTGTACAGCCAGCTGAAGGAGGAGACGGTGTGGCGGATGGAGCGCTTCAACAGCTATGTTAATGATAAATTCAGGCAAGCCAAGGGCCTCCCCAAGGACTGGGTCTTCACTGTGTTCACTGTGAGTGTATGGGGAGCCCGTGCGCAGCCTTAATTAGGGGTCTGGGAAGAGGATGGAGGGCACATCGGCTTTCTCCTCAGATGCCCGAGGGGAAAGAGAGGTGCCTCGAGTGAGGGGAAGGTATTGGCAGCGCCATGGTAACCAGCCGATGCTGAATGCCGCAGCCTTTTCCTGCTAAAAACCGCCCTACGATATGCATCCCACACGACCCGCGGCTTTCATCCTGTTCGTTTCAACGTCGACTTAAATGGTTTTTTTAAATCGCACGTTGAGGCGAAGGGTCGTGAAAGAGGGTGATGAGCACCAATTGGCTGAGGAAAGGTGCTAGTGTTCTCCAGGCTTTCCAGCCAATGCCCCGGTGCAACAGTGAAAAGTCAAGGGGAGACAAGGAGACGCCCAGGTTGACAGAACTCAAACCACAAGTACGAATGCGCTTTTGAAGGCCCTTGTCAAGCCCATTCATTGATGGCCTGAGCCCCTTATATACGCTCTGCTCTTGCAGTGGGACCCTGAGGCTATATCCACACTTCAGGCTTTTGCCGGCAGAGAGTATGCTAATGAAGTGCTCGTTAGCATTTGTTGTGCTGTCATTTGCATATTCTCTGCCGATGCTTTTGGTGCAAGAGGTTTTTGCACAAAAACAAGCAGGCTTTCGCTGGCAGAGAGTACGCAAATGAAGCGCTGATTAGCATTTTGTCGCACTTCATTTGCATAATCTAGTTGAGCCGTTTTTGTGCAAGGGGTTTTTGCACAAAAAGAAGCAGTGTGGACATTTCCTTTTTGCTCAAAAAACCCTTTTTGCACAAGATCCTTATTCTTCTCCGGGAGAGGCATAAGGATCTTAGGCAAAAAGGGTTTTTTGCACAAAACGGATCCATCTACACTGCTTGTTTTTGCGCGAAAACCTCTTGCACAAAAAGCATCGGCAGAGAATATGCAAATGACAGTGCAACAAATGCTAATTAGCGTACTCTCTACCGGCAAAAGCCTGCAGTATAGACATAGCCTGGGATCATGTCTGGAGGACCCCTTTTGGAATGGAGAATGGAGCAAAAGATTTAAAAGGCTCAATTTCTGCTCCACACTCCCGTCTTGCACAGGAGTGAGAGGGGATGGAAGTTAGGGACTGAATCCCTGGGGCCCTCCCATTCATTAGCCTGACGCAGTTAGGGCAGTAAGGTTCTACACAGTTTGAAATGGATGGAAATGAAGGGAGCAGAGATCAGAAAAAGACAAGGGTTATTTTGCTTTTTTTTTTTTTTTTTTTTTTTTTTGGTGGTTCTCTTGTTGCTTAAAACTACCCTGAAAGGAAACTAGATGCTAAAAAGTGTGTTGGGTTTTTTACCCAAACCTTAAGGAGCCAGCGAGGAAGCTACTCACACTAAGTTTGCCAAAAAGTGTCTGACTCTTCCCACCATGCTGGGCTTGAGTTACTGGAGAGGAGCCATAAAACACAATCATGTCAACTGAAAACCAAGCAAAACCTGGCAGCCTCTGCCCCGTTTTGCGCTACATGTTTGGCTTCTTGAACCCCGCACCTCCCAACACAAGCCCCAGGGAGTTTGTGAATTGTCAGGTGCCCCATTTCAGCCAGGTCTGTTTGTCACTGTTTCTAGGAGATAGGAATACACTCCTTCTGAGGAGCAGGCTTAGGTCCATGGTGCAGCCAGTGGAACAGCACCACAGAGTAGCTAGGTTCAACAGCAGCCCCCAAGGAAGAAGTCAACAGAAAGATGGGTGAAGGTCACTTATTCTGCCATGGCCCCTGTTAGCCAATAAGCAATATTTGGCCTCAAGCTTCCAACCAGAGGAGCAAGGATGGGGTGGGGGTGGGGTGGCTGTCTGCTTGAGGAAACACTACGAATAGTCCTGTCGCACCTTCAAGACTAACAAAAATATATCTAGTATCATGAGCAGGGGGGGATATAGGGCAGGGCGAACGGGGCGACCGCCCCGGGCCCTGCGCTTCAAAAAGCCCCACGCATGCGCCGTGGTGCCACCGCGCATGCACATGGGGTCACTGTGCATGCGCCGTGGCAAAGGGGGGCCCCGCGAAATTATGCTGCCCCGCAAAATGGTCATCTGCCCCTGATCATGAGCTTTCGTGGGCCAAACCCACTTCCTCAGATGAGAGTGGAGAAAAAAGGAGGAACCTCCCAATTTATAACAGAAAAAGAAAAGCGAGGGGGGGGGGAAAATACCTGTCAATTGTAGTGCTGGTGCTAATGATAATGAGACTAAATCAGAGGGCTGGAAGTCTCCTATACTTGGCTTTTGATGTCATTTGGGTGTTCAATACAACAGCTCATCCAGTTCATGTCTTTGTTCAAGCCATGAGAGATAGTGTCAAATTTACATATGAAGGCCAGGTTCACAGCCTTGAGAAAAGGAAGGCTTGTGAGGAAATGTTGTTCACAATCCAGCAGGGTTCATGAATCTTAAGATATCACCTTGAATGGCTCCCAGTCCTAATCAGAGAAGATCCACACTGGAGATAGTGGGTGTGTCTGGGAATAAAACTTCAGTGGAATTACCCAGTATTGAGCTAGGGTTTGATGCCCCGTTTCACACGTGATTTGGTTCTCAGAGCCTCTCGCTTTCTAAATCTGGGAAACCATCTCCACAGATCTGGTTATGTCTACACTGCAGAGTTTTTGCAGCGTGTCCACACTACAAGCGCGTTTTTGCACAAGAAAAAGTACAGTAGATCGTCAAAAGACAGGGCTTTTTGCACAAGAGTTATTCCTCTTTCTATGAGGAATAAGCCTTTTTTCGCAAGAGCTCTTGCGCAAAAAGGCGTGTGTGGACGGACAATAGGGGTTTCTTGCACAAGAAACCCCTACTGGAAAAAGCACAAGTGCTCTGATTGCCATTCACAGAATAGCCATCAGAGCTTTTCACACAAGAGCGTCCATGGCAGTGTGGACGCGCTCTTGCGCAAGAACTTTTTGAGGAAGATCTCTTCTGCAAAAAGTTCTTGCGCAAGAAGCCTGCAGTGTAGATGTAGCCAGAAAGAGGAAAGGGGAAAGTTTACTGAGCCAGTTGGCTGTATGGCGAGGAGGACTCTGTGTTCCTGTATCAGAGGGGAAACCATATTAGCTGGCCCACTGACAAGAGGGGTGGGGTGGAGAGAGGAAGGGGACAGTTGCTCCGGGGTTCAGCAATTCAAAGGGGCCAAGGGGGTCTACTGGAGTCTCAGGTCCCATTGAATTGCTGCTGGAGCGCCGCTCTGCACAGTTCTGAGGGGACACACCATGGTGTGGGTGGCACTGAGGGATGGCTTTCCCTGGTCCTTCTGCCTATGGCCCTGCCCCTTTTGGGGGTAGGAGCCAGCCCCCCTACACCTTATCCCAGGCCTTGCGGTGGCTGTTGGCCCCACTGCATGTTAGTTTGTACCTGCAAAAACAACAGGGAGTCCTGTGGCACCTTACAAGCTAACAGAGTCATTTTGGAATAAGCTTTCATGGGCAAAAGCCTACTTCATCAGGTGCATTTTCTTGTGTTCCTGTGCATTTGGTCTGATCTGAGGATGTGGCTTTTGTGTGTCTTCCAGAAGCGAATGCAGCAGATCATGATGCAGTGCTTCCTGGCTGTCAAGTCCAAGCTGGAATGCAAACGGGGCTACTTTGATCTCATTGGTTGTGATTTCTTGGTTGACGAAAACTTTAAGGTATTTAGCAAGTTTTGTTCCCGTTATTCATGCAGCCACTTCTGGGGAGGAAGATGCCCAGTGTATAACAGTGCATAGCAACCCTTTCATAACAGCTGAGAGTGGGAAATGACTACTTTATCCTATTGAAACCGTGACTGGACTTCGGGCAGGAACATGAGTTTAACATTGAAAAATACCATGGATCCTTTAAGACCAGAAGCCTCCACTTCCCATAGCCTCTGAAAGAGAGTGAGCCAGATATTTTGCTTGTAGAAATCATAGAATCAGAGAACACTAGAACTGGAAAGAACCTTAAGAGGTCATCAAGTCCAGTCCCCTGCCCTCATGGCAGGACCAAGCACCATCTAGATCATCCCTGATAGATGTCTGTCTACCTTAGTGTTTCTTAAACTGAGACACACAGTTGGAGGTGTACCGCGGCCTCTTTTAACTCCCTCCCCCCCCCTCCCCCCAGCAGTGACAGAAGCTCAGTTAGGACAACACATGTGGCAATTAAAGAGGCTACAACTTTTTTTTTTTTTTGCTCAATAACTTTTCCCTGGTGTTCCTCATTAAAAAAAAAAGATTGTTTGGTGTTCCGCGGACTTAAAAAGTTTAGGAAACACTGGTCTGCCTGCTCTTAAATATCTCCAGAGATGGAGATTCCACAACCTCCTGGGGCAATTTACTCCATGCTTAACCATCCTGACAGGAAGTTTTTCCTGATGTCCAACCTCAACCTCCCTTGGCTTCAATTCAAGCCCGTTCCTTCTTGTCCTCTCGTTAAAGAGAATAAATTTCTCCCTCCTCCTTGTGATAACCTTTTTAGGTACTTAAAAACTGTTATCACGTCCCCTCTCAGTCTTCTCTTTTCCAGACTAAAGAAAATCTAGTTCTATCTCTTATATCCCAATCAAGGCATCTGCCTTGACTTCGAAGCAGCTGTGCTGATTTCCACCAGCTGAGTATCTGGTATCCACACTCCAGCAACACAGAGACCCTCTCCAGGCTATTTTGGGCCTCTGACTAGTTACTGATGAGCAAATCACCAGAAGAACTTTCTAGCTCGGGTTATTCTCAACCTTTTTCCTTCTGAGGCCCCCGCCAATAAACTGCAAACACTCCACAACCACAACTGCTTTTTCCGCATATAAAAGCCAGGGCCGGTGATAGAGAGTAGCAAATAGGGCAACTGCCTGGGGTCCCACACCACATGGACCCCCACAAACCCATATTGTTCAGGCTTCAGTTTCCATCTTGGGTGGTAGGGTCAAGGCTTTAGCCCCATTCAGCATGGCTGCAGCTTTTTGACAAGGGCCCCAATGAATCGAATGCTGACCCTGCATTTCAGACTCCCTGAAACCTGCTCATAGCTCCCTGGGGGAGCTCTGAGCCCTGGCTGAGAATCACTGTTCTAGATGTTCCTTGAAGGCTTGCCATCCCAATATGGATCCATCCCAAACCTACTTAGCTTGCGAGGACTGACAATCACAGAATGCAGTGGGAAGTACAGACAGAGAAAGAGAGAGAGAAGAGAGGGGAAGGGACTGGCTGCATCTGACGAAGTGATCAATACAACCATCACGTTGCCTCAAACCATCAAAGTCCTGCAGAACCACCTGGCCTGAACACAACAGAAAGGCCATCTGGTTGCCTTTGCTTTTGTAGCCCTGTTGCTAAAGCAGATGCAAACACAAACATGCTCCTGCAAAGCGAAGTGGGAGCAGCAAACCCTCTTAAGAATGGCAGTCATGTATGCAGCACGGGGCACGGGTCCTGCACAATAGCGTCCTTTGTGCAGGAAATCAATGGCAAGAGAGAGTTAATGGCAAAGACATGGAAACTGGCACATCTCACATTTCTGTGACAATTGTCTTTTTGCAATGTTGGCATGCAAAGCCGGGGCCGGGTAAACCTGAAATAGAAAGGGAGATCCAATATCACTCTCGTCTGGCAATCCCTCGGCGATTAATTAAAAGCGTTCGCGCCGCTTCCGTGCAAACATGGCCCCTGGAGACTATTACGTCTCTATGTATTTTGTATATGGACAGATAAACAGATCGGTTACTTTAGAGTGATTTGATCTATAAGCACGGGGACGGGGGAGTTCAGTGCTGAGAAACTGGAGACCGAGCGGTGAGGAGCGGGTTTGGAAGGCAGCTAAAGTGGGGAAAGGGAGTGAAACAGGAATGTCCATCTGTCTATCACAGGCTCTTCCTTGTTCCTTTGTCCATAGAGAGACAATGATCCCGATTCTCCTTACATGTACACCACTGTCAATTAGAAGAAACTTCACTGAAGCCCGTGGAGATACCTCAGGGTAGATCTGGCGTAAGACAGAGGAGACCCTGGCCCGGTGCCTTTCATTCAGTGTTAACAATGGCCTGCAATGCTCTTGAAGTCTGCACCTGTACCAGAGCTTCTGGGGTGACTGGGACAAGGGTGTCGGGTTCTGCACCTAGAACACACAATGGGACAGATTCTCCTTGCGGCCATTCTCAGGGCCTTCGCTGGAGGGTGATTTACATGGGAGTAAATGAGGCCTGTGAGCGTGAGGTGTTCTGCCCTGTAACAGGCTCCCCTTCTCCAGGGGTGATGCTGGGTTTTTCATGTTTCGCATTTCCCGCTGTGGCATGGAATAGCGGGAAAAGGGAGGGCGGGACTGGCTGCATGGCTGAAGGGCTTGATAGTGGCAGGCATCACCTCTGAATTCAGTCACATCTTCAGTTCTGGTGCAGGATGACAGTGACAGAAAAATGTTGCCATTTGATAGATTCCCATTGACCTAGATCAGGAACGTAAGGCATGGGGACTGGATGCTGCCTACGGCTTGTCTACGTCAGGCCCCCGAAGCTCGGGGTTCTCCCCCTCAGCTTTGGGGAGCCTGCGCTTGTGCTCTGGTCCTCTGGACACTTCCCCTGTGGGGCTGGAGCACACAAAATCTACTAGGCTGGGCCACCCTGGCCGCGGGTGGGTAAGGGGACTGTGGGTTTTTGTTTTGCTTTGGTTTTTGCTTCTCACTTGTGTGCAACCCCCAACTGATTTTTCTGTGGGTCAGTGGCCCCTGACCCAAAAAAGTTTCCCCACCCCCGGGCTAGATGAAACAAACTGAGGTGGGGTGGGGGGAGCTGTTAGGGCACTGCAGTGTGTCCCCTTGGTGGTGAGGCTAAGCAGGGAAGCCAAGGGTTAACTAGGTCTAACCGGGTCTCAGGGATGAAGCTCCTTCCTCACACCTGAAACTCCCTCCAGAATGAGGAGTATTGGGGGGGATGGAAGAATCTAGCATCCACCAAGCTTGTGCTGCAGCCTAGGTACAGGCAGTCACTCCAGAGCCGTCCATCCCACACCAAACTCTCTGCCCCCCCCCCCCCGTCCCCCCCCCCTCGTAAAAGAGTGGTTTGCCTGGAGGGAAAGGGACTGTAGGAAGGGTTCATTTGAGCTGTCTCCCGTCCACACCCTTCCTCCCTCCTTTTGCAAAGGCCTAGCTCCCCCTGAATCACTCCCCGGATGGGCTGAAGGGTCCTGTCTTTGCCTTGCACAGTCTTTGAAAGGCAGCTCTGTCCCAAAGCATGGCCTGTGGCAGATTGATCGCAGTGTGCGAGCAAGCAGGGCCTGTGGGAAGACACCACAACCCCGCTGCAGCCCTGACTACTCTCATCTCAGCTATGAGGAGGAGGAAGTGGGGGAAGGAGGAGGAGGGGATTGCTTGTCTGTCGCAGCTGTTTTGTCTCCTTGAGTAGTTTTGCCAAAACCCAGGGCACGGCAGGGCTTGGGAGGAGGGAGGAGGTCATTGAAACGGTCTCCAGTCAGAGACGCAGTCGACAGAAAGCATTGCATCAGACAGGCAGAAGGGCTGCTCTCCCGGGGGCCTGCTGGGAGGACAGGCGTGAGGGGATTCAGCCATCCAGTCATGGGAGAGCCGCCTCCAGCTTCACCTGCCGATTTGTCCGAGCCAAACACGTTGGGGAAAAAGAACTCAAATCACCCCTGTGATGAGCAGGTGCGATTCCGTTCATTTCAATGGCACTGCTGCCTGCTCCGGCCAGGGGGTTTGAGTCCCTGTAGCGGTGCTGCTGAGGGATGATGGTTCCGTGCCAGGCCCATTGCAAGAGCTCAGGAGAAAACCTGCTTTGCACCTTCTATTTTGCTGCGGGGAGGAAGGGAGCAAATCTGCCAGCTAATTCTGTGACTTTTGGCAGCGCTAATTGGTTCCCTTGTGGGGGGCTCTGCAGAGACCCACAGCCCTTCTCCATGCTCCAGTGAGCTCAGTTTCAGCCTCCTCCACACTGCAACAGGCCTCTTAAGTCATACTATTAGTGATCTGCAATGCAGTGATTATGGATCACACTAGGTGCTGTACAAACATGGACCATAAAGGCAGACCCTGTCCCACCCAGCTCGGGGCTTGGGGCCTCACTTCGAACTAGCCCTGCAAAGCTACCTCTGATTTGGGGAGTCATATGCGAAAGAAGCATGCATCTCTGCCCCCCAGTGCCCAGAAGGGTGAAGGAGATTGTGTGTCAGGCTGCAATAGTTGCTAATATTATCTTAGAGTACGTCTACACTACCACCCTAGTTCGAACGAGGGTGGTAATGTAGGCAACCGGAGTTGCAAATGAAGCCCAGGATTTGAATTTCCCGGGCTTCATTTGCATCTCGCCGGACGCCGCCATTTTTAAATGTCCGCTAGTGCGGACTCCGTGCCCACGGCTACACGCGGCACAGACTAGGTAGTTCGGACTAGGCTTCCTATTCCGAACTACCGTATTAACTCAGATGTGCTTGTGCGTATTCCCCTCCATTCCCTCAGCCCCTAGGTGTATGCACTGATGGAACCATTTTTATTACACTACTACTTTCCAAAGCAACACAAGGGATAACACAGTTTACCGATCAGCTTTCTCATCAATTAGAAAGCCAGGAGAGAAGGGAGGATCCAGTAGTTATGAACTCAGGAACCCAGGGTTCAGTTCATAGCTCTGTAGAGGTTTGGTTTCCTGCCTGACCTTGGGCAAGTTATTTTATCTCTCTTTCCTGCTGTAAAACAGAAATAAAAGCACATCCCTATGCCACAGGGAGGATAAATACACTGGAAAACATACGAGACACCCAGACGCTTCTCTGATGGGGAGCCATCTAAGATCTGTAGCATGGAGAGCTTTGCTCCGTCTCTTTGTCTGTTTCACTTGACAGCATGAAAGGGAAACAAAACTGAATCCAGTCATTTGTAAAGACTCATCTGTTGCTCCCAAAATCTTATGATCTTGTATCAGGGGCGCTGAGGAAAGTTTTCAAAGATGGGAATGAGTATTTCATCACTGAAGCCGTCAGTAGAGTTTAGGTTCCCTCTAGTGGTCTCCGTAAAACATTCCCATTTCTAAGAGAACAAGCTTTGCTTTCATAGCTCCTGTTCTGGAGACAATCCACATTTCAAAGCCCCTTTTTGAGCCTTTCCGTTTTCCTAAACAAACTGAGAATTCAGAGTTTTACTTTTCCTCTCAGTAAAAGAAGGAGAGTGGTGAAGGGAAATTACTGCACTATCCTGGCCTCATTAAAGTGATTGATTTCCAGGGAAGAAGGCAGGAACTTGCATGGAAGCAGACACATTAGCTGCTTCAAATGAAGGACTTTCTCCACTGCATTTCAACAGCAATAGTCCCAGGGCAATTATTTCCTGAAGCCCCATTTTCTGCCGCTCTGCAAACTGCTAACTGCTCTGAAGCTTCCCAGCGGGGTCTCAGCATGAAGTGGAGAATGGTGGGCTGGCAGCGGAGGCTGAGGAGAGGGGTTTAGCTTAGTGGGATTTTAATGGAACTGTGCACAACTCCGGTGCTTTGTTCAGCAAGGACTGCTGTGAGCTTTCGTTGGGGTTTCTGCGCTGTCCTGTGTCTCGCCTGCACCCTCGGATTTGAAAGAGCCTGACGATGAAAAGGAAACCCGGCTGAATTTAGCCCAGACATGCAAAATCAAGGTTCCACCTGACTTCCAGCTGAAACCAACACGTGGCCCAAGGCATGCTCAGAACGAAAGCCCTGGAGTCAAAGCCCTGTGTTCTCTTGAAACCAGGCTCTTGGTGTGCTTAATCTTAATCTCCGGCTGGCTTGAAATCAGGTTCGTCAAAGCATCACCCACTCGTAACTACCCACACAACTATCCCAGGTTCATTCCAAACATACCTGAGAGCTGTTATGGGAATGCTATATAATAAAGACACAGATGCATGTATACCTACCTACATGTATACCCTTGTGCATGCAGATAGTTCATATCAAGAACACAAAAGTATGTCGCATTGTTCCTAATTTAGCAGGCTCAAAAAAGTTGGTGCTGTAAAACCTGGCAAACAGCTACCTCTTAACAACAGATTCAGCAGCTTCAGCACCGCTCACGAGTGTCTGTTTTATAAAGAAACCACAAATTTAGTGAATGTCACCTGACTGCTGAGTTCATTCTGAAAGTTTTGCACTGCTCTAATCTAGGGCTGAGAATGGGTAACTTTACCCAGCACCTAAGCCAACAGCTGGCAACCCGGTGGCTGCTGTTTAATGCCAATGCCCTAATGCCAGTCCAAAGCCCACCCCACTTCCCCACCTTCAGGGTGTCCCTTATCCTGCCCAAGCTAGGTCCATGCCTGGGGCAGTGTCTGTTGGCTATTCTGATACTCCCAAGGTGGGTGGGTTTTGAACCTGCAACTCTGCCCTCCCCAGGTAAATGCTCTAGCCCCAGGGGACTCAAGGACCTATCCCACCTTCCTCCCTTCAGGGCATCTCTTATCCTGCCTTCCTAATGCACCAGCCAGCTCCATCCCTGTCATAACAGCTGTTGGCTGATTAAACAGGATTTTACATCCCTAATCTAGTCAGGTCCCACCGTCCAACTGGAAAGAGGTGATTAGCCATCATGTTCACCGTTTGGACTTTCTTGGCTTGATTTCATGCTGCCTGACCTCACGTTCATGAATCAGCATCAACACAAACCATGAGGGGATAAACGTAGCTCTTGTCTGTGCAGACCCTGCTCGTCTCTTTTCAGGTCTGGCTGCTGGAGATGAACGCCAACCCCGCGCTGCACACCAACTGTGCAGTCCTGCAGGATGTCATCCCCACCGTGGTCAATGAGACTCTTGGTAAGTAAACAGCCCTGCAATCCATGCCTAAGGTTGCCCAGTGCTCCACATGTGACATGCTCAGGTGGCAGTGGGTATCATGGTCAGGGGAAGACATGGCCTTCCCAAATTGCCTCTCCTGGCCCCAACCACGCTCCACTGGAGTTCTTCAGACCCACTTCCCTAGCCTACTGATGTGATGCTTAGGTAGACAGTTTCCTCTGATCATAAATTACAGCAAGGTCTGGGCTTGGCTGTGCCAGGACAATGGGATGTGCCCGGAAAGGGATTGCTTCTCAGAAAACCACACAGAAAAGAGACAGAATCACTAGGCAAATGAAAAGGGCTGGCTGGGGGGGGTGATCTCTGCTTGTCAGGGGCTGCTTGAGCCCCCAATCTTCTACTCCCAGGTGTCCTTTAAGGAGGGCAGGGGGGCTGAAGCCCCTCCCCACACATATTTGTATGGGGACATTGCTGGCTGTTCTCCTTCATCAGGGAGTGAGGACAAAGTCCACTCTGGCCGGGGAGTGCAGGGGACAGACGAACTGAGCACTTTGCTCTCGCTCCCTGACAGGGACAGGAAGGGGAATAACAAGCAGCCCTGGTATGAATTTGGGTGGGGGGCCTTCGGCCCAGAGTCCCCCAACTTTGACTCCTGCACCCCCCCACTCTCCCTGCCCTGAGCCCCTCATAGGAACATAAGAACGGCCATACTGAGTCAGACCAAAGGTCCGTCTAGCCCAGTATCCTGTCTGGCCACAGTGGCCAATGCCAGATACCCCAGAGGGAGTGAATAGAACAGAGAATCATCACGTGATTCCTCTCTTGTCACACACTTCGAGCCTCTGACAAACAGGCTAGGGACACCATTCCTGCCCATCCTGGCTAATAGCCACTGATGGACCTACCCTGCATGAATTTATCTAGTTCTTTCTTGAACCCTGTTAAAGTCCTTAAGGACCTGAGCAATGCCAAGTAAATGTGTTAGTTATTAATATTTTCTGTGACTTGGTGCATAACTTGAAGCACTAGGGTGTGTGTGTGTGTTTGTGCAGGGTGGGTTAGTAATGTCCTGGCTGTGTTTCCTTTCATAGATATTCCTGTTGTGTGTAGGGACGTTTTTTTGGGGGGGTGGAATATGTAGGCATATCCTGAGTGCGTGTCCTTTCAGTGATTGAGCTGTTTTGGGTGGTATGCAGTGTTGTGGGGGGTAGGGAGGAGGAGAAATGGGTGTAGAGATGTTTAGTCATGTCATAATTATTCTTCTGTCACAGATTTGGTCCTTGAGATTTTCAACAAGAGCTTGAAAGGCCAGAGAATTGTACCTTTGCAGACCCTGTGCCATTTTGTGCTGCTCCATAATGGGGGTGCGTCTGAAACTGTAGTGAGAGCCTCAAAGACAAGATACTCCCTGGGCACTTCGAGGAACCAAAAGCCATTGACGGAAAACACCAGTCACCTTGCTCGGCTTCTTCCCAAAGCAGCAGAGAAGCCTACAAAGAAACCAAGCGGCTCGGGGGAAAACACCATCTCTCCTCCTCAAGGGGGTCCCCAGAAAACTGTTGTAACGATGCCGCAGGTGCAGATCATGGACATACGCAAAGTCCACGCCAGCCATCCTTTGAAACCCACAGTTCAAAGTGGCCAGGTGAGCAGTACTTGCAGCCAGTACATTATCAGGCCTGTGGTTTTCTTCGAGGAAGGTAGCCTGGCCAAGCACAGCATGGGCAATGGTTCAGAGAAGGACACGGCCAACTCTGTCGTTCCTGTGGCTGCTGCTTCAAAAGAGAAGGCCTATGGCGTGTGGTTTCAGAAGACCTTCGGGATTAAATCTCCCACTTCTGGTAAAGAAGACCAGGCCTTCACCAGCTCCCAGATGGTCTCTTTTCACCTCCAGTCCAAGGTCTCAAATGGCTCGCCCTGCTTGAAAGACTCTAAGCCACTCGGACAACCCTTGACCCGCCCACCAGCCAAGGAGACCCCATTGACCAAGGACAGCAAAGCAACGGCTGCATCCCAGTGCGCCGAACCGCCTCCAGATGACCAGAAAAAGGTGTCTCATCGCGGGTCTTAGCTGGAGATCCCTGTGTGTTGAATACATGATGTTTTCCCATAACAAACATAAAAATAATGCCAAAACATTCTATAGAGCTGTGACGTATCTACGCATTGTATGGAAACATTCATTGATTTTCATAAGCGATTTTGTTATTTTAAAAGAAAAAGAGAGATGATTGATGGTCAGGAATCAGTGTAATGCGCAATGTAACATGTGTCCTGCAATCAGGATGGTACACCCCTTCCCGACAGCTGTCAATTTTGAAAGAAATTCCATTGCCCCCCCCCCCTTTTTTTTTTTTTAAGAACAGCATGATCCTATAAATGCCTGGCATGAGATTGAAACCTCAGTGTGTGCTGTACTCTTCCAGCTGAGCAGACTCAGCGATACCCATGCATGCCATTGTGTGTCTTGTGCACTTGTGTGTGTTGTGTGCACTCTTAATCATTCTAGGGATTGTTCTAGGGATATGTGCATATGTTATTGTTCAAGCACCATGTACTGGTGATCCAGGGATCTGTTATTCACAGTTCTGATTCTTAACGTGCACTGTCAGTTAAGCTAGCCAGAGGCCTGGCTCTCTCTTGCATGGTCGGCGGAGAGATGGTCTGATCAGATGACATAACGCTTTCTGTAGTGGTACATTCTGCTTCCGCCTGGAATAAGTCATTCCTCCCATCTGCAGCACAGTGTTCTGCCACCTCTCCCCCACCCTCCTTTCTGGACACCACACTATGTGCTAGACCAGTGGTTTTCAAACTACAGTTCACGACCCAGTACTGGGTGGTGGAATGTCAGGCACTGGGTCTCGGTGCTGCAGGGGGATCAGGTGAGCCGTTGTGGTGCTCAGGCAGCTTTCTGCCTCTCCTGCACCTCTGTGCCCAGAAGAGGCTGGCAATAGGCCTGGCTCCTAGTTGCGGGGGGAAGAGTGCACAGGGCTCCGCACACTGCCCCTGCCCCGAGCACTAGCTCCACACGGCCATGGGCTGGGAACCTGCTGCCAGCTGCTTCTGGGGCGCAGCAAGGTCTGTGGTGCCAGGAGAGGCAGGAAACCACCTTAGGCACTTCTGCTGCACCGCTGACAGGGAGCCACTCATGGTAAGCCCCTCCTGCCCCAGCGATGACCCCCAAAAGCCAGAGCCCCCTCCCACAGCCCATCCTCATCCCCACCTGGGAGTCCACACTCCAGTCCAATTATGTGGGGTTGTGGCAGCAACAATTTTCTTCAACTAGGTCATGAGAAAAAAGGTTTGAAAACTGCTGTGCTAGAAGGCAGAGAACGAAGCACAGGTCCTCTAGTGCTGACCACTCAGAAATGGGGTGTTTTCCAAGCCAATCTTTGCTCTGTAGAACAGTCCTCAAGAGGTCCCTCTGCCACAAAATAGTCCCAAGTGCGTCACCTCCATGATGCTTGGAACCTGAGTGGCTCAGCAAATGAAACCGGGACTCCTGAACAGCATTTCTGTTTGCACTGAAACACGAGTGGCGTTTGTGTGTAAAATCCTGGTGATACATATTTAATAATCATAACCTGGGCAGAATCTCATAATACTCCTTCCAGCCACATGCACTTCCCACGCAGTAAGCCCCCATTTTATAGAGCGGGAAACTAGCACCAGAAGTGAAAGTGACTTGCCCAGCATCACACAGGGAGTCAGTGGCAGAGAGGACAATTCAACAGCGAGCAACCCAATCCTCGCTTCAGAACAGGCCTGCTCGAACTTCAGAGGACCACGGAAAAGGCAGCAGTTTCTAAAATGATTCAGGCCACACTGACACTGCAAGCCGGGGCAGGGCGGAGGTTCTCTCTGCCTGTCTCTGCCAGGCCTCTGCTGCCAATACCGCATGCTGAGCTGGCTTCCTTGACACTTGTACTCATACGAGCTCGATGGGAAGCCGTGTGAGTCTGTGCACATGAGCAGCGGTCACACGAGCGTGTCGTGTCGATGCAGCCTCAGGAACGATCTGTATTCCAGGCGCCCACGCCCAGAGGTGATGCCTCTCTATCATGTGAAAACCACCTTCCCACCCCATCCCTGGCCACAGCAGGGGGTGAGGGAGACCGAGCAGCCCAGGCTGTGCCGGATCCTCTCATCCTACCAAAGCGAATCATTCAGTGCTCGGGAGCCTCCTCTTCCCTCAGGGCTGTAACAAGGGTGAGGCGAGTGAGGCACTTGCCTCAGGCGCATAGCTGAGGGGGCGCAGAAAAGACAGCCTCTACGCAGTCTTCGCTCGTGCCTCGTGCCGCGTCAGCACCCCTGACCGAGCAGCCCAGGCTGTGCCGGATCCTCTCATCCTACCAAAGCGAATCATTCAGTGCTCGGGAGCCTCCTCTTCCCTCAGGGCTGTAACAAGGGTGAGGCGAGTGAGGCACTTGCCTCAGGCGCATAGCTGAGGGGGCGCAGAAAAGACAGCCTCTACGCAGTCTTCGCTCGTGCCTCGTGCCGCGTCAGCACCCCTGCCCGCAACGAGGATGGTCTTGCCTCAGGCGCCAAATTAGCTAGTTACAACTCTGTCTTCCCTGGCTCTCAGCACTCTGTAATTCTCCTTCCAGGCCTCGTCCCCCTGACCTCCCCTGGCTCTGCATGAGCGTAAGATGGTCCATAACAATTCAGCAGGGCCTGCACTTTCCCAGCCACCATAGCTGTGTCTAGACTGGCCAGTTTTTCCAGAAAATCAGCCGCTTTTTGGAAAAACTTGCCAGCTGTCTACACTGGCCACTTGAATTTCCGCAAAAGCACTGACTTCCTCCTGTAAGAAAACAGTGCTTTTTGCAGAAATACTATGCTGCTCCCATTCGGGCAAAAGTCCCTTTTGTGCAAAAGGGCCAGTGTAGACAGCTGAGATTTGTTTTGTGCAAAAAAGCCCTGATTGTGAAAATGGCGATCGGGGCTTTTTTGCACAAAAGCACGTCTAGATTGGCCACGGACGCTTTTCCGCAAAAAGTGCTTTTGCGGAAAAGCGTCCGTGCCAATCTAGACGCGCTTTTCCGAAAATGCTCTTAATGGAAAACGTTTCCGTTAAAAGCATTTCCGGAAAATCATGCCAGTCTAGACATAGCCCATGTGTGACTCCCTCTAATCCCAGCACAACCCCAGAAAATCACAGGTAACCCTGGTGTCATCAGAAGAGGGCTCTGACCCCACCCTTTGTGTTCTCTTCTAGCTGGTGGCAAGGAGTCTTGCAAAAAATCCCTGTGCAAGGTGCCCAGGCAGAGGGAGGGGATTCCCTTGGCTTCCCCCACAGGAGGAGGACACACCCTGCTAGCTCCAGCTGAGCGGAGGCAGCAGCCTGTCTATGGAATCATCAGCCACCTCAGAAGGTGGCAAAATGAGCTTTCCTGGCTACACCAGAGCCAGGCTGCCTCTCCAGCCACGCTTCAATCACTAGTGCCGGCAAGGTGCCAGCAGGGAGTCACCTTCTTGCTGTGAGCCATGGTGGTTAAAACACCAGTGGCTGGTCTATGGTAGCATTCTCACCAGAGCTAGCACTGGTGAGCCTCCCCCCCCCCCCCCCCGACACACCTCAAAGAGCAAGGGCCTTGTAGTGAGGGACAGGGCAAATACAAACATTCATTTCTCCTGGTTTTTTCCACTGCTGCTAACTGGCCTCGCCTAAATCAAATAGTTTTGCCTCAGTGCCTCTCTGGTGGGTTTCCATAGAACTCAGTGGAGTCACATCCCAGGGGATGTTGTCCCTTTGATTGCTGGTGGTTTCCTTGCTTGAAAATCTGTGGTGGGTTACAGCCAGTGCTCCCTGAAAGCTGAGCGCTTGGGCGACCACCCAGAAAAGATTCAAATGCCACCCTGCTGATTAGCAGAGGTCCTACAGCACCCACAGCCAGCAGAATATATTTCTACAGGTGGTGCACATCTGCACAAGCCTCAGTGCACAAAACATTTATTCTGTGCACATATGGGAAAAATTAGAGGGAACATTGGTTACAACTGCAGATCAGTTACACTGGGGATTAGAGGGAGACAAAGAAACCTAAAATGGGGAACCGGGGCCCTTTGAATGTAGGGACTGAAGTTATTAAATTTGGAAATTCCCATCTAAGGCTAGGTTCTAACCCAGAAGCAACCTTCCTTCTGGTTCTGATCAGTATGAATCCAAACCCTTGGAAGAAGCCACTTTTCCCGTGAGATTTTGGCTCAAGATGGCAGACGTCTTACATAAACCCGATTACCTCATGTAGCTTCAGTTCATGAGATTTCAGCTCTGTCAGTCCCAAACCTTCCCCCCAGGCTTGATCTGGAGCCAAACTCTCATTCTTGAGCTCAGGTCTCCTGGCGGTGAGGGCTGAGTATACACTGATCTTCCCTAATGAATACCTCGGGGCTGTGTCTACACTGGCATGAATTTCCGGAACTGCTTAAAACGGAATACTATTCCGTTTTCAGTTTTTCCGGAAAAGGAGCGTCTACATTGGCAGGCTGCTTTTCCGGAAAAGCCCTTTTTCTGGAAAAGCGCGTCTACATTGGCCACAGACGCTTTTCCGGAAAAGAGCCCCGATCGCCATCTACACTGGGCTGTCTACACTGGCCCTTTTCCGGAACAGTGTTCCGGAATAAGGACTTATGCCTGAGCGGGAGCGGAATAGTTTTTCCGGAATAGCGGCTGATTTTGTACAGTAGAGCATCGTAGCTTTTCCGGAAATTCAAGGGCCAGTGTAGACAGCTCGCAGCTTATTCCGGAAAAGCGGCTGATTTTCCGGAACAAGTGGCCCAGTGTAGACACAGCCCGGGGCTAATTAAGGCAAAGCAGGGCAGCACAGGAACAACCAGCACACCGTGGAGCGCTTCTGCTTTGCTGCCATCACGTTATAAAGGGACGTTGTGTACCCTCAGCCTGCCGAGTGACTCGTTACACTCAGGTCAGCTGCTGCAGCTCATTTCTCACACATCACGCACTCAGGAAGTGTTGTGAAACATGGCGACAAGCAACGGGTATGGCTTTCTGAGAGCGGGGAGACGCCAGATGTACATTTGCTATTCTGTGGGCTGGTGGCGCCATCTCAGAGCATCCACCAGGCAGGCCTCCACAGCTGCTTCCGGCCCTTTCTGCTCCATTTGTGTCTGTGTGTTCAAAAACAAGCCACCATTCGTGTTAACCCTTTCCTGCCCGTCAGATGCAGGGCCTGAGGTACATCTAGCAAAGTGGCTTACCGCTCTGACACCCAGTGAGCCCGGACTAAAACCCAGATCCTAAGATCACCCCAAACTCTGAGGGAATTCAGCTCCAGCTCCAAATTTTACAGCTGACCCCCTGCCTTTAAAATAGGCCGAACCAAATCCAAGAGCCTCACACCTGAGCATTGAGGGAGTTGGGATTTGGGAAAGAAACTCACAGCACAGGATCTAATCAGTTCAGTTCCCATCTCTCTCCTTCTCCCCCCCCCCCCCCACTGTCCCTAAAGAGACCCCTTCCTGCTTTGCCTGCCAATCCCTCCGGCATTAGAAGAGTCACTACATGACTGGCCAGCAAACCAGCATCCAAACAAAACTAAACCATTTGTTTTATTGAGGAAAGGGGCCTTTATGCAGGCCTAGCTCCCCTATCCGCTCTGGCCCTACGTGGCCTCATTCTCAGCCCAATTTCAAATTGGGTCAGTAATGGAGCTCTCCTACCATCCCCTAGGGCTGTGGTTCTCAATTGGTGGTCCATGGTGACTTTTTCAGTGGTCCACAGGAACATTGTCCAAAGTCACACGGCGTGGGCAGGCACCAAAAATCTGTTAGTAAGAAATAAATTTCAAACCAAAATGTTCGTTGTCTGCTCTTTTTTATCATGTCTCAAAAAGGAGGTGGTGCCCGAAAATTTTTTGATTGGCCTGGTGGGCCGTGGACTGAAACGAGTTGAGAACCACTGTCCTAGGGAGACTATTTCACACTAAGCCTTGTGGCATCTTGCTCCCTCCTTCTGCTCTGTCTACTCAGACAATCCAGAACCTTTCTATGGCTACATGCCCACCCTATAGTTCAGCGATGGGTGACTTAGGCTAGTGAGTAGGCCGCCTGAGTGGTTCTCCTTCATCTTGGTGGGTCACAAGCTACTCATAGCCAAGATGATCTCCTGGGATAGGGTAGTTTTGCTCACTGCACTTGCCTACTTAGAATTTAGGGGTGTGCCAATTGAATCATAGCAGCGCTTTGATTGGATGCAGAGGGATCACAGGACTCTCACAATGTTGTGTGCAATTAGCACACACAACCCTTCCCGTGGCCTGGCTTTACATGTGTGTCACATTAGTACTATTGGTAGGAAAAAAGCTACGCTGATGGAAACCAAGCAGCATTTGGCAATCCTGCACGTGGGCAACGGTAAATAAAATGTCTTGTGGGCCACACATCGAATCCCAATGAGCCACATGTGGCTCTTGGGCCACAGGTTGCCCACCGCAGATACTGTTTATTTCTTTGCTCTTCCCAACACCTTATTGATCCATACATCAGCCCTATCAGTTATTTTTCAGTCCTCTGCAAGTAGAGGAGAGGAGAGATCCTTCTAAGGCCAGGTCTACACTGACCTGGAGAGTGATCCTTCGGAGATGGACCTTCAGGAGTTTGATTTAGCAGGTCTAGTAAGGACCTACTAAATTGACTGCTGATGTTACCTACCACAGTTCTCCATGGAGTCACAAGGAGTAAGGGAAGTTGGGACTCTGCAGAAAGTTGACTCAAAGTACAACAATTTTCATCGCTGAAGTTGCATATCTTAAGTCAGCTTTCTCCAGTAGTGTAGACCTGGCCTTAGTTCTGGCTCTGCTAGTCAGTATATCCTTCCTGTGCCCTCTTTGCCCCTCGGTGTTAGTGGGCTAATTAGATCTTTAGTCCTCCCCCAGCCCATTCTTATGCACTAATTAGGCATAATCAGGTCCAGGTGAGCCAGGCGGGGGATGGGGAGGAAAGGGGAATAATTGGTGCTTCAATGATCAGCGGGTTCGTGTGTTGGTTTTTAGCCCTGTCCCAGCCCCCCAGTCAGAAACGTGTCCCCAAATCCTCCATTTCATCAAGTGATTCCTAGTTCTACAGCTGGGTTTGCTGAGCCCCTTGGCATCTTTCCGGGTGTCCACTGAAGATCACTTTCTTGCTTTATTTTGAGTGGTGCTTCACAGCCAAACTGTCACAGCTGCATATCTCCCCCTGCATCTCCTTCACACTGTGACACTGGGGGAAGGGAGAGGGAAGGCTTGCAACCCCACTGACAGGAAACACTTTTACATCTCAGATGTTGTTGCCTCTAAACCCAAGCACATTCTTAACCAGTAGAAAGCGGAAGAGCTCGGCTCTCTCTCCGTCTTGCCACGTGTACGTTCTCCTCCTGCTCACTGACCATTTCTTAGAGTCCAGGTCGGCCTGTCAACTTCGGATTTTGGACTTGACTCCGGGGACGGAAGCAGCTGAGGGAAGGTGCCCTGCCGTGGGGAGCTAGTGATGGGCTGCTGCAGCGTGAGTGCCCGGCAGGCTGCATCTGCAGGGGCACGGCAGGATGAAGTGGAGCTGCTGGAAATAGGTGGCAGCAGGTAGGCAGCGTGGCTTTGAATCTGGGGCTTTGGAAGGGGCTAGTTTTCCTTGCGGGGTGCACAGAGGTGAACGGGCATCATCTCACATGGCCCTTTCACCAAAGCTCAGAGGGAGCCCAGTGGTGCTGAGGCTACATCTACACTACAAAGAAAGATGTGTTCTTAATTCAGAGTAGCTAACCCACCTTCGAAAGCTACAAAGATGCGGCAATTTGGCTTTTAACCCAGGGGAGCAGATCACATTAAAGCCAAGAGGGGAACGCGGGGTTGACCGCAAGCTGCTAACCCATGGTAAAAGTGGAGTTGCTGTGTTTTCACTAATATTTTAACTTGAGTTAAGAACAACTTTTCGTGCCATGTAGACATAGCCTAAATAAAATTCAGAACAGCTCCATAAGGTGGTATGGGAAGAGGGGAACATATTCAGACAAATCAAGTGGCGTATTTTAAACCTGTAACTCTCTACAGTCTGGGAGATTTTCAGGTACTTCCTCCTCCCTCTTCCTCTTTTCTGCAGGAGATTCATTTTTTACACAAAATGGTGTGCCCGCACCAAATGTCTTAGCACAGACCCCATAGTCTGGGATATTTATATAGATACAAGCAGCAGTTCCGGTGCATTGTACCAGGACAGACCAGGTACATTCCGGAGCAGTTTGGGTAGGCTTCCATTCCTTTTGACAGCACAGAAGTTGCATTCTGTCTAGAGCCCGTTGGACTGTTTCTAGCAGTAAAAAGCTGGAACAGCCATATCAGAAATGAGTCTCCTGCCCGAACATTCAATTAACTTTATTGCCCATGTGACAACATAGAGAAATATCACAGAACAAGTGAATAAAGGAATCTCTCCTAGTCATCTTCACTTTCTTCTCCCTTCCTCTTTCACTGCAGAAAATGGTCTATCTCAGAAGCTCAGAGTGAAAGCTCCCTCCACCTCAGGGACCACGTGATCACAACAGAGACAGGAGGTGTGAGTATAAGCAGAGTCTCACAAGTCAAAAGGCCTGGGTAGAGACCGGGAGGTGAGTCTAGGCCTGTTTATTTAAGCAGAGCATGACAGCACCATTTCCACTTAGGCTTTGCCACTCAAGAAAAATCATAGGATCATAGAATACTGGAACTGGAAGGGACCTTGAGAGGTCATCAAGTCCAGTCCCCTGCCCTCACGGCAGGGCCAAGCACCATCTAGATCAGGGCTATTCAGCACTCGGCCTGCGGCCTGTTGGTTTGCAGCCCGCGGTGGGGTTTGCTTTTATGCAGGGCTCAACATGTGGCCCCTGGGTGGGATCTTTTGAACACGGCCTCCACCGGGAACACGCTCCACAACGGCGAGGCATCGCCTAGGTGGGGTGAGCATTGAAAGACGCAAGCGAACGGGTTGGCTGGAAGAGACGGGTACAGGGCATCGGCATTTCTAGCCTCCAGGGTTAGGTGCCGGGAGTGTCGGGGCATTGTGGGAAGTGCTGGCTACTTAGTCTTGTGGGCAGAGCCTGAGAAGTGCTGAAAGGCTCACACTGGCCATGTTTGAGTCCAGTGCCGCAGCTTAAGGCTTAATCTTTGTATTCATGCCCACCAGTATGAAAGAAGCTATTTGCATATAGTTGCATATTTATTTGCATGTATACGCAACCACACTGTACACAATACTCCAGTTGAGGCCTAATTAGTATAGAGCAGAGCAGAGGAATGACTTCTCGTGTCTTGCTCACAACAGTGCTAGAGCCCATGACATGGATAGGCATTAGTGTTCCCAACCAACCAGGATTATCCTAGAGTCTCCAGGAATGAAAGATTAATCTTCCATTAAAGATTATGTCATGTGATTAAATCTCCAGGAATACATCCAACTCAAATTGGCAAGTCTAATAGGCTCTGAGCCCCAAGCAGTGATGAACCGTTCTCGTTATCGCAGGGTGCAGACAGGACTTTCTCCTTCATTTGTACACAGTCACATGCATTCCTGTGCTGTTTCTCACAGAACCTGATACTAGATGAAGACGAAGATGTTCAGGGGAGGATCAGAGCGCTGAACCCACAGGTGAGTCCAATGCCATTATGATTTGTGTCGGGGCAGGCCACAAACAGAGTCAGGTGCTAGGTGTTCTCCGCAGGAGCACCTCGCAATGCTCTTCGCCCCATTGTACACAGAGACATCTCACTGCAGGTGAGTGGCGGGAGCTGGGAGCGGAACATGGGCGGTCAGTAATGTAGGTAGGGGAAGGCACAGTCTTCCCAAAATGGCCTACGTGCCTGACCGCCTAAGGCTGGGGCTGCAACCGGGGAAAGCTGGTGCCACAGCACAGCAGTCCAGCTTCTCCTGGCTGCTGGGGAGGGATGGGGCCAGGACCTGGAAGCCTGGCTTCCCCTGGACCCTGGGGAGGAACAGCCCGGCGCCCCCTACCTGCTGGAGAGGGATGGGGCTGGAGCTTCAGCAGGGCAGCCCCGGATTGGGCTGCGGTAGGTGGGGTTTGATTCCAGGGGCAGGGCTTTGGGTGGAAGCAGCAGACCTGGGGCTTGCCTCCCCCAGCTGGGCTTTCACTTGCAGCCCCTGGTTCTACCCACAGTAACAAAACCAGGAAGTGACACCACACATATTCTCTGATTATCACACATTATTATTTATGATTGTTTATTGTAGTGTTTAGGAGCCCTAGAGCCAGAGGTAGCCAGCCCTCCCCACCACCTGGAACGTGTCATGCACCCCTCCCCAGCTTTCAGAGCCAGGTGGACTGTGCAGCACAGCACTCCAGTGGCAATTTAAAGGGCCTCCACCTTACATCCAAACACAATTGGTTCCAACTCTAGTTTCTGTGTGTTTTTCGGGACACTTCCCACCAGGCTAATACAGACACTTGCGTGTCATTCTTTTTGCTTCCAGGCAGCAGCGTTGTGGGGGAGAACACGGGCAGAACTAAGGAACTTCCTATTCGCACAGCCCATTGCTGGCTGGGAAGGGGAGAGCATCCACTCCCTTGGGGAAATAGTATGGTCCTCGCTGGTCTTTATGCGCACCTGTCATATGGAGGTAACCATCTTCACCCTATCTGCACCTTCAGTCTCTTTAGCAAAAGATTTCCAAAATGCATGGAGAAACCATTGTATTTTTAAATGGTAGGGGCAGAAAGACTGGGGTAATTTGGGCCTTTGACCTGCTATCATGCTGGATCTGCTATCATGCTGTTGTGGAAAATAGATTCTGTCATATTAACGTGATATCTTTTTAATGAGATTATAAGCTTGGTTGATGAATGCAGTAATGTTATTGTAATATACTTAGACTTCTGCCAGATGGTTACCATGATTTTGTGATGAAAAAAAACTAGAATCATGTAAAATGTACATGGCACACATTACATGGATTAAAAGTGAGCTAGCAGATAGGTCTGAAAATCTTGTTACTATACATTTTAGAAACGTGTGTCTGCTTGTCTGTCTGTCCATCTGTGAGTCTGTTTGTGCAAGAATGTCTCCTAAATAGTAAGAGTTAGGACCACCAAATTTGGTAGGCAACTTCCTCTTATCCTAACTTAAAGCAAGGTCAGGGTTTGGTTGTGCCAGGACAGGAGATGAGCCTGGAATTCGATTGTTTCTCATAAAATTAAAATAGAGGGATCTGGTAAGAGGGACCATTATACTGTAGAATGACCACAGGGGGGCAGCAAGTGGCCAGAGATGGGGATTGGGGCAGCTATAACCCCACTGGGCTGGCAGGGGCCAAGGGTGGAGAAAGGGACAAATGTCTATTATATATCTGAGAGAGTTTGCCTGTTTATGTGTCTGTCTTTCTCCCAGCCAGGGAACATACACCCCTCCCTTGGGTGTGGCCAACTGCAGCGACCATGGAGAGGTGCTTCTCACCTGGCCCCAACTTGCTGCTGCAGGAGGGAGGGCTGGAGTTGTCCTCTCTCCCGTATAATGAACCTACATGCCCAGCCCCATCCCAGAGCAATGATTTAAAGGAAGAAAAACCAAACTTATTTGAGTTAAGGACCTGAGCATTGCATAAAAGGGGAATTTTCAGTGAGCAGATCTGTTTCCAATGGGGACTCGAGGGATCAGTTCTTGGTCCTGCCCTATTTATCATTTTTATCATCAGTGACATAAATAATAAAGAGGACAGGTCACGGATCTAGAGTGCTCCATAGTACACGCTAAATTGGGTGCAAACAAACAATATGCATTTTAATATGGCTAAATATACACGTATGTATTTGGAAACAAAGTCTGTGGGCCATACTTCCAGAATGGAAAGCAGGGACTCTGAAAAAGATTTAGGTATCATGGTAGATAATTAGCTAAACATGAGCGCCAGATGCTGTGGCCAAAAGGAGCTAACATGATCCTGGGATACCTAAACAGGGAATCTCAAGTAAGAGGAGAGAGGTTATTTCACCTCTATTTGGCATGGGTGCAAGTGCTGCTATGGGGCTATGTCTAGACTGCAGACTTCTTTCGGAAGAACCTTTTTTCGGAAGAGATCTTCCAAAAAAAACTTCTTCCAAAAGAGAGTCCACAATGCAAAAGTGCATCGAAAAAGCGATCTGCTTTTTCGAAAAATAGCATCCAGACTGAGTGGATGCTATCTCGCATGTAAGCTGTGCTTACTATGAGTGGAATGGCCAGCAGGGCACCTGTGCTTTTTCCTCTTTCCTCTTCTTTTGAAAGAACTGCCTCATCCCCGTCCACACACACTGTTTTCTGAAAGAGCTCTTTCAGAAAGAGGCTTCTTCCTCCTAGAAAGAGGTTTACCAATGTCGGACAAACCCCTCTGTTCTTTTCATTTTATTTTGGAAGAACGCGATTGCAGTGTGGACGTAAGTGTAGTTTGTTCAGAAAAACGTTAGTTTTTCTGAAAAAAACACTATAATATAGACATACCCTGTTCTGGTGACTACTATTCAAGAAAAATGATAAATCATAGAGGGTTCAGACTCAGAGAAAAGCCAAAGAATGATTAAAGGATTAGAAAACCTACCTTATGGTGACAGACTCAAAGAGCTAAATCTATTTATCGGAACAAAGAGAAGATTAAAGGGTGATATGATGACAATCCAAAAGTATCTATGTGGGGAACAAATATTTAATCACAAGCTCTCCACTCTAGCAAAGAAAGCTCTAACACAATCCAAAAGCTGGAAGTTGAAGCTAGACAAACTCCCCCAGGAAATAAGATGGAAATTTTTAACAGTGAGACTTATTAACTGCTGGAATAATTTCCCAAGGGTCGTGATAGATTCTCCATCACGGACCATTTTTAAATCAAGGTTAGATGTTTTTCTAACACATTCTCTGGCCTGTATTATGCAGGAGTCCAGGCTACATGATCACAACCATTCCTTCTGGCCTGGGAATCTATAACTCCCAGCGCAGGATTGGAGCCATAGTTTTCTGGGAGGGGCTTGGGACTGATAACGGGGGATAAAAATTCAGTTTTTCCCATTGATGTCACCTAGAGGTGGGCAGGTCTCACATGAGTGTTTTAGAAACGGTTGAAATTTTTAATTCAAAATGTTATTTTGATTTTTTGTGTGTGTGCTTAAATGGAAATATCCATGCCCAAAGAATTTTTAGAAATATTTTAAGAAAAAAGAAAAAAAAGGTGGTGGTGCTTTCTAGTACACACGCACACACACACACACACACACACAGGGTATGACACACACACACACACACACACACACAGTACACTTGTAGCCTAATTCAAAATAGGGCTGCAAATGTAGGCATTCGAAATTGCAAATCAAGCCCTGGATTTAAATATCCCATGCTTGATTTGCATCTTTTCGGCCGGGCACCATTTTTTGAAATTGACGAGTCTGGAATAACTGTCTGCGTCTACACGCGGCAGTGAAATGGGCGTTTGAAATAAAGCCCTATTTCGAAATACCTGTTAAAGATCATTGCAGGAGGAATAACAGGTATTTCGAAATAGGGCTTTATTTCAAACGCCCATTTCACTGCCGCGTGTAGACGCAGACAGTTATTCCAGACTCGTCAATTTCAAAAAATGGTGCCCGGCCGAAAAGATGCAAATCAAGCATGGGATATTTAAATCCAGGGCTTGATTTGCAATTTCGAATGCCTACATTTGCAGCCCTATTTTGAATTAGGCTGCAAGTGTAGATATACCCACAAAGAGAGAGAGAGAGCGAGAGAGAGAGGTACATCTTTGGATTACATTGTTTCAAGAACAAAAAACATTTCTAGACTAACCTTAGAGCTTTTTTCCCTGTTGCTGTGGTATTGATCTGAAGGGACCACTTCTTCCAATAACTATGACAAGTAAATTATCTCTCTGTAATATTTGCATGGGGTGGCTGCTGAAAGAAGGCCAGCTGAGAAAACCTCAGGCTGATATCTCAGGTCACATCTACACAGGCACTGTCAGGGAAGTTAAGGTGAACAAAGGCAGCTACATTGGGGATAAATCATACCTTGTCTCACCGCGGAATGGTGCTTAGCTCATTCGTAGTTGAAAAGCACTTTGAGGTCCTCAGAGGAAAGATGCTATAGAATGGCAATCAATGTATTAATAGTAGCGCGTTGCCTGAATTTTGACTCACCCTGGGCTACCCAGCATATAACACTGCTCAGCTCATAAGCTCCCTTCTCCATCTCTTGCCCAAACTGACCTGCTGGAACTGTGCTCATGTTGGGACGCAGGAAATAGGGTGGGAGTGCAGAACGAGTAAGGTGAAGAGCAGGGGGAAATTTAATCTCTGTCGTATTTTATTTTAAACATATCTTAACATTTTTGGCTGCTGGTGATAATAAAACCCTATTTCCGCAGGAGATGTCGGAACGGTACCTCGTGCTGTTCTCCTTCCAGCTGCTGATTCTATCGGTGGATCACATGCAGAAGACATTTACCTACCAGGTAAAGCACAAGGTGCCCCCTTGTATGGTGTAAAGCCCCAATTCATTGGAGCCCTGGCAACCAAGACAACACCAAGCTACCCCTTCGCTGCACATCTGTGGCACAAATAACTAAATATCAGAACAAGGGCTCCGCTAGAAAACTAACTACAGAATGAGGGCTCCATGCCAGAGGACTCCAAAGCAGAGGAAATCAGAGAGTCCAGACCTGACCATCACTGGGGCATGGTGAGGAGGGACCAGATGACAGGAGGGAGAGAAGGACATTGGAGATGTATACAAATACAAGCTACAGCAGAGAAATCAAAGGGGTGGGGCCGCATTGCCCAAAACATGGGATAAGCCACACCGGTAGGTAGAGCAAAGCAAGGGGCAGCTGGGGGAGGGACACAGAAGGTATATGCGTTAGAAAATGGAGCCTTTTAACACCTCGCGGCAAAGCTGAATCATAGCAATACCCATTCTTCCAAGCACGTTCCATCCCTAGATCTCAAAGCATAGCTCGACTTCATCCACAGAGCCTCCACAAAGGCCAGTGTCATCTCCCCCATTTTACAGATGCCTCATCCAAAGCAGAACCAGAAATCAAATCCAGATCTCCCGAATTCCTGTCTAGTGCTCTAGCAACAAGGTGACACCACCTCCGTTGGAAGAGGCAGGCTGAAAGGGCATTTCATTTTCCTGAAGAAGGGGACCAGCTGTCAGGAGGCAGGGAAACACTGTCTATGAGGGGAGTAGAGTCTAGCTGTGAAAGCGCAAGACTGAGGCTATTTCTGCACTGGCAGATGTAAAGCGTTGGTAGTTATAGTGCTGCTCACATTGTAATTGCTCTTGTATGTCCACACGGTGCTCCTTGTGATGGGGGAGCACGTCCACTTTAGCAACTCTTGCAATGCCACAGAGAGCAGTGCATCGTGGGAGCTGTCCCACTGTGCAACTGGCCAGAGTGCTTTGGGAAGGGTTTGCAATGCCACATGGGGTAGTCAGTATCACGTGTTCATCCTGCTACATGGACAGTTGCTTTTCAGCAGAAGTCCAGGGAAAGGAGAAGAGTGTGATGTGGAATGTGTGAGGGGGGAGGGGCAGAGGGATACAAGAGTTTTTTGGGGGATGTCAGCATGATGTCTTGTAAATTCAGACAGCAACAGAAAACAACCCCCCTGAAGCAGGGGAGCGTCAAACCCTGATATCTCATCCCCACCCTTTCCCTGGCTCAGTCAGTCAGTCAGTCTCACACACACACACACACACACACACACACACACACACACACACACACCTGCCTCTGTGTTCAACAGCAGGAACATTCCACCTGGGTGGTTTGCTCAGTGTCTCGGAGCCAATCAGCACAGCCTGCCAGCTTCCCAAAACAGAGCTCTAAAAGGGGGGATGTGCATGCCTGCGGGGCAGATAGACAGGTTCCAAACAAAGAGCAGAGGGGACTTGAGGGATTATGGGCCATTTTCGGAGGCCAGTCACAACACATCAAGTGTCCACTCTGGCCCCCCTGAGCTATATCTGAAGTGCCTCAAGCTCTATGCTTCTTGTTGAGGTGGTTTACCTAGAGCGCAGCAACTTCAGCGTTAGCACGCATTTGCCAGTGCAGACATGTTGGGAGTTAGACTGCTGGGAGCTGATTTACTGTGCAGTCACTTGCCAGCATAGTGCAAGAGAGAGAGCACTGAGGGAGTGCAGAGAGGAGAGAGTCACAATGGTTGCTTTCTACCAGTAATTCTCCTTTGCTGCAGGGCCTGATTCCTCTCGCAGGGATGAGTGTGAGGGAGGTGCCAAGTGACACAGGCTGCGTGTTTGAAATTACTGGTAAGCTTTCTTTCTCTAGAAGCCCATGAGAGTCTTAAATGGATGGAAGCTCC